ATAATTTTTACTTAATTTTTCATCGTCGTTATTTCATAATTTTAAAAAACCGATTCTGAAAACGTACCCACCCCAATTCATGATTTCGAACGTCGACTATGCACTTAAACTCAGTAATTATACATCAGGGACACGTTTTATATGTCTCAAATGAATCCTAAATAATTTGTCCCCAACACTGCATTCTCAGTTTAACTACCTAACATAGACGGTCTGTCCCTTTAATCTTTAATATATTGTTATCATTAGTAAAATTTTCCATCAATTACATTTATAAACACTCCTAGCTAAAGCTTTGAAGGAAATCATGAGATAATAATAAGTGACTCTCATTTTGAAAAGTTTTACCATATGCAGTTCAATTCACAACAGGGCCACTTTTAACTTATTCTGATGAAACATGAAGTAAAGTGAGTAGTGACTGGCAAATTTTTGCGGCAGCGACATATAGAAAATTGAAAAAATTTAGATAGCAAGGGGTTTAATTGTTCTAACTGTTTAAAATACGTCAAAAATCTCTTTAAAGACAAGTATATAAGTAGATTTTAATTGATGAACGCAACTTAGATCTGGATCGAATGCTATTGGGGAAAACAAGAGAACTTCAGGTAAAAATATTTGAGAATTTTAAATAGCTTAAGTATAGTCGGGTAGGCTTTTCCGCTTCTGGCCCGGTAATAACAAAACTGCATAATATCATATTTGCTTCTATTATTTTTCCTAATTAATTTCTAATTTTTGGCAATCAACCTGAGCTTAAGACAAATTCCTACATTTGATCTTTCTTTTTTTGGATGATTTCTTTCTCATTTCTTTCCTGTTTCTACAGGTAAAAACTTTATAAGATCGCCATTTCAGGTTTAATGCTGGATAGTTTTCATAGCATACTTATTCTTGTTTTGAGAAATTATAGTTCACTGGCAAATGTCATATGAATACATGAATACATTACAAAAATTTTTTTTATAATGACATTTATGATAAAAACTTTTAATTTTGCAATCCCAATTGCATATATATTTATGGTACAGGTTTATTTACTACATATTTGATTGTTGGTTCAATACTATTATCCTTGTATGTATCAAGGTATTAATGTATAATATTTATCAGTTGAAGTATAAAGATGCATAGGAGTAGTGCAATAATCGACAGTTACAGTGTTGTTATCGTTTCTAGAAATTAATTTTCCAGAAAAATCAGAACCAATTTTAATTGGTTTTAATTTTTCCGAAAGTGAATGACATTTCTTTGTAAAGAACTGGATTTATCGTTGATTACATAGTTTTTAGATTAGCGGGATTCTTGTCTTGCATACCAACACAATAAGAAATTAGAAATTTATCTTTTGGGATTGATCCTTACCAACCTGTCTGGCACTTTTAGTCAGAAAAAAAACCATTATTACAGATAACATTGATTTTTCTTTGATATTAGCCTAATTCCGACCTAGTTAAAAGTTAAGTCTTAAATCTTTCATTTCATTTAAACTAAATTTGTACATGCCAATTTTCACTTTTTACATACAGTGTAAACTGTATACACTTATGAACCAACTGTTATAATGTACTTTAAAATATTAATCTCAGCTTAATTAATTCCTGCTTTATCCATATGTCTGGACCATCTTACATGAAAAATTATTGCTTGTCAATTACAGACAAAACTAATTATAACTCTAATTCTTTTTAGAAATAAATAAATCAATAAATGATAGAGATGGTAAAACTTTCCTATCTAAAAGGGATTGTAAGCGTAATTCAAGTAACCTTTCATGCAAAGATGGCAATTGGTCCGATTCACATTCACAACGGTACCCTTTAAAGCTTTGTCTGTTCAAGTATGATTTATTTATCCCGTTGTGAATTAGGAATGTTCCTGTTTTAATGAAAGGTCAATTTTACAGTTTGTGCAATGGATATTGCATTCAGTCGCTGTTTGGCACCAGACCGATAAAAGATTAACAGAAAAAAAATAATATATCTTTGCAACTTAATATCGTGTACCTTTATTTAACCTATATTTGACCTATGCAAAGGTTTACAATTTTAAAATGCATAATAGGCGACTCTTTCAGTCATCTATAATGAAGTTATTTTACTTTAAAAATAATTATTAAAAATCGTTTAAATTGCAACTTATAATCGTTTATTTAACTTTCGTCCTTAATATAACTATTTTTAGTTTTTAATTAAGAGTGCATGAGGTGGCATAGCTATTTATAGAAGGATGAGAAACTTTGAGTTTGGGTTCAAAAACTCAATTCCTTTGACTTGAAACTATTCTTTTTGTGACATTATTCAGAGATAGAATTTATATTTATAAAATTAAAGTCATCTTATTCAAACTTCTTTGATCTTAGTTTTTATCCTATCGATATAATAGCAATAGATATACTAGATACTAGATACTGGATACTAGATCCTTAATACTAGATACTAGATACTAGATATTAGATCCTTAATACTAGATATTAGATCCTTAATACTAGTATAGATACTAGATATTATATCCTTAATACTAGATACTAGATACTATATATTAGATTCTTAATACTAGATACTAGATACTAGATATTAGATCCTTAATACTAGTATAGATACTAGATATTATATCCTTAATACTAGATACTAGATACTAGATATTAGATTCTTAATACTAGATACTAGATACTAGATATTAAAACCTTAATGCTAGTTACTAGATACTAGATATTAGATCCTTAATACTAGATACTAGATATTAGATATTAGATCCTTAATACTGGATACTAGATACTAGATCCTTAATACTAAATACTAGGTACTAGATATTAGATATTAAATATTAGATCCTTAATATTAGATACTAGATACTAGATATTAGATATTAGATCCTTAATACTAGATACTAGATACTAGATATTATATATTAGATATTATATCCTTAATACTAGATACTAGATACTAGATATTAGATATTAGATCCTTTATACTGGATACTAGATACTAGATACTAGATCCTTAATACTAGATACTAGATACTAGATATTAGATATTAGATACCTGTATTGAAAATTGATTATTTTTAAAATGATGGCAATGTGTTTGAAAATATAGCACTCAGTAATATTAGTGAAATAGATACGTCAATAGATACGTCTAGTGTTAATGCTCATGCCGGACTCACGCGATCTGAGCTTAGCTCTGGGTCCGTATGAGAACTGAAGTGGTTACATCAATGGAACTATCCAATCTAAGCTTAGCTGCGGGTTTATATGAGAACTGAAGTGGTTCAATTAATGGAACTATACAATCTGAGCTTAGCTCCGGTTTTGTATGAGAACTGAAGGGGTTACATCAATGGAACTATCCAATCTGAGCTTAGCTCCGGGTTTATATGAGAACTGAAGTGGTTTAATTAATGGAACTATCCAATCTGAGCTTAGCTCCGGGTTTATATGAAAGCTGAAGTGGTTACATTAATGGAACTATACAATCTAAGCTTAAGTCCGGGTTTATATGAGAACCGAAGGGGTTACATCAATGGAACTATCCAATCTGAGCTTAGCTCCGGATTTGTATGAGAACTGAAGGGGTTTCATCAATGGAACTATACAATCTAAGCTTAGCTCCGGATTTGTATGAGAACTGAAGGGGTTACATCAATGGAACTATACAATCTAAGCTTAGCTCCGGGTTTGTATGGGGACTAAAGGGGTTTCATCAATGGAACTATCCAATCTGAGCTTAGCTCCGGGTTTATATGAGAACTGAAGTGGTTACATCAATAGCTCAATTCCGAGCTATTAAGCTTATACTAGTTCCACTAGTTTCCTTGCGAGTTGCTTTTACAATATATTTGTTAGTCGTATTCATTTTATTATACGCTGACCATATAAAGAGCATACTAATTTTTGATTAGGTTCGTGTATCTATGTAAATAAATAAATACTATATTCTACATTCTTAGGTTATAAATTACACAAACATAAACTTTACTTTAATAATTTTTAAGTCTATCTTTTGCGCCCTTATAACGCCTTTAACGTGGAATAATTGATATTTAGAAAAAGCTACAAAAAAGTAAATAATCGAATTGACTAAATATCAAATTCAATTTAAACAAAAAAGATAAGAAAATATAAATCCTGTTTTGTTGTATTTGTGTATAATGCATTTCCTAATTGATTTATGGTTAAAAGTAGAATAAGTCTGAAAAGATAATTCAGACATATATTTTGATTTATAACCTACTTCACTGCTAAAAAGATTTAGCCTAGAACCAGAAAATGAAAAATGGATATTTTAATATTATTTTGACAAATATCAAGCTTTAAAATTCATACTTCCACTTTTTAGAAGAAACTAGATTAAGAGTAGAGTCACTTTGATGCATATCTTTATATAATAAATAGCATCAGAAGGATTTCTTATAATTGTATAAAATCTTATAGATTGCATGCTTCAACTACTTAGATGTTCCTTTAATCCCTTTATTGTATGCATGAAAGTGAACATGCATACAAATATGTGTTGCAGGCGTTCAAAAGCAATTAAATTTATTCTCTGATCCATTGGGGGTTATTCACTGTAAACTGCGGTTCATCCAGCGTTCATTGTTTCATCGCAATTTGGGCAATTTTTTCCGCCAACGTTTTCATACTCATTCCACGTAGCAAAATATTTGCTTGCAAAATGCGAAATCTGCGCGCAACGATTTTCAAATTCAACTGGAAACCTTGGTGTGGTATTAAATTTCAAATTAATTAATCTTTTAAATTGAACCGATAAGGTATATTTGAAATTGTGAGAAAAATATTTTTGAAAACCAATGAATTTTAGACGAAACTATAAAAATTGATATTCTTATCTATTTAAAACTGAAAAGAGTACGAATACTAAAAAAATCGAGATTTTTTATTAAATGGGCTCGAAAATAAAGGCGTGCTTCGCTATATAGTGATTATCAAACCAAGAAGTAAGAAGATTCATTTGGAAAAAGAACAAAAATACACAATATTCATGATAATATTAAGTTCTTTATATTAATAAAATGAATATATTTTTGACAGCTAAATATTGATTAAAGATATGAGTTAAAAGTTCGGTTTTGATTGACAGCAATCTGGAGATCTCTTTGCATCATACTCTTATCCTTCAGACGAGCCTGCAAATAATTATAATGATAATAATGATAATAATAATAAAAATAATAAAAATAATTAACTGAGGCAGTTTGATTTATTGTACGTTTCACCGACAAAGGGCCAAACAACACAGGGTCAAACGACTTAGGGTTAAACGACAAAGGGTCACACGACACTGGGTCAAACGACACAGGGTTAAACGACACAGGTCAAACGGCAAAGGGTCAAACGACAAAGGGTCAAAAGTGCGACAAAGGGTAAAACGACATAGGGTCAAAAAATGCGACAAAGGGACAATTTTTGACATCTATTTTGACATCTATTACACTTAGTATTTATTTATTATTATTTAGGGTTAGGTTAGGTTAAGACACTTTCTGGGCCGAGCGCTGCGGCTAGGACAAGCTAGGGGGCCGAGCGCTGCCGCCACATGATGAATCATATCCATGTCTAATACAAAATTGATAGGAGGGTTGCGAGTTTCCTATGATTCAAATAAAAAAATATCTTTATCATTTTGACCTTTTGTCGTTTGACCCTTTGTCGCACTTTTGACCCTTTGTCGTTTGACCCTTTGTCGTTTGACCCTGTGTCGTTTGACCTTTTGTCAGTGAATCGATATATATGATATATTGACTGGGGTTATTATTATTATGATTTATTTGTCAAAAACATAAAATTGGTTCAGATATTAGATTAGAAATTATATAAGACTTTAATGATCAATTTATACATTGTGAACTAACAAATTTAATTCTAATATTGATCTAATTTGCCAAATCAGTGACAATATGTTTTCACAGCAGAGAACCTTTGCAGTGAAGCAGAAATGGAAAATTTTCAAAAATTAAAAAGATGATCCATTGTATGCACCTCTAGCATTTCTGTAGTCTATATCTATTGAACCTGATTCATGAATTATATGACCAAGATGGTCAACCTGAGTGACCCAGGGCAGCTTCTGATGATTAAGGACGACCTTCACCGGTTGTCTGTCACGTCCACAAGTAAAATAAATACATTTGGAAACTTTTCACAAAGTTGCAGAAGGTTTTGTAAACCATTTCTGGTAGGAGACAGCAGTAGAAAATCATCACAGTAGGCCACAACACCAAGGAAGAGATCCCCAATATAGCAGCCAAACCCACTTTCTCTAAGCTTTACAAGCAACCCGTCCATGTACACTGTAAATAGGATAGGGGATAGACAGGATCCCCAATATAGCAGCCAAACCCACTTTCTCTAAGCTTTACAAGCAACCCGTCCATGTACACAGTAAATAGGATAGGCGATAGACAGGAGTACCATTTATCATATACCAAAGGAGTAGGAAGCTGTTTATGTAGCTGACCATTTAACACTTCAGCAGCTAGTAAACCTCGAACAAAGGATTTTTCTAGAGAGTTTAAATAATCAACACTTATTAAAAGCTTTTCTACAGTCCAAGCAGCTACATTGACATTTTTGTTTGCTTCGATTTGTTAAAGAAAGTAACTGTTGTATACATTGATATATATTATACTAACTGAAGGGCCCGGCGTTGCCCGTGGAAAAAAAAAGTATTTAAAAAATTCGAATTTTTAAGCCTATAACACATGAGTGACCAAAAAAATTTCAGCCCAATCGGTCCAGCCGTTTGGCCGGCTATACGCACCATATACGAATGTCTTGTTTTATTATATAGATAGATATATATATTATATTATATATTATATACACATACATACACATTGATATTTTACGGGGGTTAAAGAGGTGAGTCTATGACACAAACTCAAATTTACCAACCCCCTCACCTTTGCAACATCATGCTTTAAACCTTTGATATTTCAAACTTAGACTGTTTGATCCAAGGTACCAATGCAAGGAAAGTTAATTGCGGTCGCGTATCTCTGAGTACATTAAGAAAACCATTTCTCTCTGGGCGGAATTTGTAAACAAGAATAGATGCATCAGTGTTCGTCTAGTATCCAAGAAGGACAAAAACATTTAATTTTGATAATTTTTAAAATTCACATAATAGATTCCTATGACCAGAATATTTCATGATTTATTTTTATAAAAATGGATTCTATGTCAGGCTGTGACATCCTTCTAGTGTTTACTTTTTCGCCCAAAGACAGTACACTGCAGTACAAAAAATGCGTACACCTCTGAAATAACTTTCCTTGCATTAGTTTCTTGGTTTGATAAAACAGCTTCAGAATTCAGAATTCATATCTAATGTGTTGTAAAGATATGAGGATAGAAAATCAAAGATATAGGGATGCAAAATCTTCGCTAGAAGGTAACAAGGTTGTGGGATCAGTTTTTACCAAGATTAATGTTGGTAGGAAAGATTTTAGGATTAAGCTAATTCTCTAGTTTTAAGAGAAGATGGTTTGGATTAATCTAATCAACTCTGTCAGGACAAGGTTGCAAACTTACTGAGAATCAGACAAATTAGACTCTTTTTGATAGGGTTCCGTAAACACAATCCTTGCTCTAATCTTTCTACGTTCATTGTTTTGTAACAGTGTAATGAAAAAGACAACAAAGGAATTGAGTCTTTGCCACAAACTCAATTTTTGTAATCCTTATATCTTTGCAACCTGATGATGTAAACCTTTGATATTTCAAACTTACATTATTTGATCTAACAGCATCCATAGTTTGAAATATTTAAGGTCTAAGACATTGGGTTACAATGAAATTGAAATTAGAAAATCAGAGTTTGTGGCAAAAACTCATTTCCTTTACTAAAATAAATCGGAACTGATTATTCTTCTCATACTCATTCCTTTATTGTCGTATTTAAACACATAGATACTGTTAGAGTATAAAGTTAAAATTTAAAATATTAAAAGTTTATAGGTTGCAAAGATTTAGGAATATTCAGTTCTAATAGCTGAAAATAAAATTACTCCACATTGACTAGTTCTTTAAACGATTAGATCGAATCAGATAATGAAAAGCATTATATAAAGTTTCATATTTATGCATGCTTGTCAAATGTGTAGGTTGCAGTTGACGTTTTGTTGATCTGTGATATAAAAAACACCTAGTAATGCGTATAGAACCCTACTTAAAAAGTAAACCAGAAATTACAAAAAAAAAATACATAATATGGCTGAAAGTTTTTCTGTTTTCTTTCATTCGTACTATTTTAGTTGTTTTAAAACCAGAGAGGATATGGGTAGGGGTGGGAGGGGGAGGGGACAGGAGAGGGGAGGGGAGAGGTAGTTTAAAACTTTTCATTTTGCTGTAAACAAAGTTTAATAAATATTTTGAATATAAATTTACAAAAGATGAGTATTTAAAGTTGAAAATTGTAAGGTTGGGATAGAAAGGGGGGGGGGAGACAAAGTTTATTAACAAATTAAATATTTCTTAGAAAGTTTTCTTTTGTCTTCTCGACTAGTGCCATTATAAAGCACCAGCAATTTGATGATTTTTTATTCGATCTTAAAATTGACATTTCTAATGACATTTTTCTCAAAGGCAATTCGTGGTTTTTACTGCACAGACCTGCAAGAAAATGGCCGAATTGTGAATTTACTGAAGTCAAACTATCTACATGTTTGCCAGATATAGGTTTACAGGTTGAGATTGTGAATAGTTGAATACGCTTGAATGCATTTTCCTTGTAATTTTAAGATACCCTTCATTTGAAAAGGGGCATTCTCGATTCACAATGATACCCTTGAAACTTTAATCTGATCATTGATCAGTGATTAGTATTATGGAAAAAGGATTTAGTTTTCATAATTTTTCAATTGTTTCCTAAGCAAGTCACTTTTGCAGATAAACCACAAATGAAAATAAATAGTTTTCAAACACAAAACATAAATATCTATTTCTGTTTAACCAGACAAACCTTTAAAGATACCGTTGTGAATCGGAAATGATACTCTATCAATGGTAATTCACTTAAAAATTAAGTTTTCAGTACCTGGGTGAGATTGTTAATTACACCAAACGTGTCCCTGGAAGCTGTGTTAAAAGAAATGTTCAATAAACTATTTATTAAGTACAAGGATATTATGTTTCAAGTATCTTATTTCTCAATTAAAACTTTGTATCATCTTTCTAAACAGTGCTTTCTACCTTCACAGACTAGGCTAAGGTAGCACGTTAGGCTGCAGTGATTAATTAAACAGTACGTTAGGCTGCAGTGATTAATTAAACAGCACGTTATGCTGCAGTGATTGATTAAACAGCACGTTAGGCTGCAGTAATTGATTTAACAGCACGTTATGCTGCAGTGATTGATTAAACTGCACGTTAGGCTGCAATTATTAATTAAACAGCACGTTAGGCTGCAGTGATTGATTAAACAGCACATTAGGCTGCAGTGATTGATTAAACAGCACGTTAGGCTGCAGTAATTGATTAAACAGCACGTTATGCTGCAGTGATTGATTAAACAGCACGTTAGGCTGCAATTATTGATTAAACAGCACGTTAGGCTGCAGTGATTGATTAAACAGCACATTAGGCTGCAGTGATTGATTAAACAGCACGTTAGGATGCAATGATTGATTAAACAGCACGTGTTTATGAAATCAATTTCTGTTGTGCTATTGTTATGCAGCAATTTCTAACGTGTAATTTTTAAGTTTTAAGTAAGAAATTAGGTCCCTTAGTGTGATATTGTTTAACAGCACGTTTTAAATAAGAACTTGACTCCATGGTGTTAAATTGATAGACATTTGACGTTTAAAGTAAGAACTTAGCTCCCTGGCATTACATTGTTATACACGACGTTTAAAGTAAGAACTTAGCTCCCATGGTGTTAAATTGATAGACATTTGACGTTTAAAGTAAGAACTTAGCTCCCTGGCATTACATTGTTATACACGACGTTTAAAGTAAGAACTTAGCTCCCTGGCATTACATTGTTATACACGACGTTTAAAGTAAGAACTTAGCTCCCCGGCATTACATTGTTATACACGACGTTTAAAGTAAGAACTTAGCTCCATATTGTTAAATTGTTTGACAGGACGTTGTAAGTATGAAATTGGCTCCCTAGTTCTACATTGTTGGACAGGACGTTTTAAGGAAGAACTTAGCTCCCTGGCATTACATTGTTAGACAGGACGTTTTAAGAAAGAACTGAGCTCCCTAGTGTTACATTGTTTGACAGCACGTTTTAAGTATGAACTGAGCTCCCTAGTGTTAAATTGTTAGACAGGACGTTTTAAGAAAGAACTTAGCTCTTTAGTGTTACATTGTTATAGAGTACGTTTTAAGAAAGAACTGAGCTCCTTAGTGTTACATTGTTATACAGTACGTTTGAAGTATGAACTGAGCTCCCTAGTGTTAAATTGTTAAACAGCACGCTTTAAGTAAGAACTAAGTTTCCTAGCGTGATATTGTTAAACAACACGCTTTAAGTAAGAACTAAGTTTCCTAGCGTGATATTTTAAACAGAACGCTTTAAGTAAGAGCTAAGTTTCCTAGCGTGATATTGTTAAACAGCACGTTTTAAGCAAGAACTAAGTTTCCTAGCGTGATATTGTTAAACAGAACGTTTTAAGTAAGAACGGAGCAAATGCACGTTTTGTAACTTGCTGCTATTTTGAGACATTTCACAGATTTGGTAACAAAGTAAGTTGTCCGTAAACGGAAAAATTTAGATAATGAAACTATAAAACTTAAATTTTATTCTGCTCTGATATTTCAAAATAATATAACGACTTCTGAAATAGAAAAAAAAAACTCTAATATTAATCTTTATAATATTTAATTTAACAAAAAATGCGGGAAACATTTTATTTAAAATGGAGGAAACTCTACATCATCTTAAATTCTCGTGTTACAAAAAGATAATGTGGAAACAAATTTTAGAATACTTTAAAAGATGAAAATATTTTCAGTGATTCGTCCTACTTTATAAATCATGAAAAAGCGTTTAGTTCTGAACTGTTAAATATTCTCAAAGTACGGAGAGATGATTTATGTTCCAAAATTCGTGAAATGAACAAACATGGAAACTTTAAATTGTTTCAAAAATTGCATGGCCGGGTTTTTATTCAAAATGAACGACAGCTCACAGTTTTAATTTAGAAAAGAGTAAATAGTGTTACTTATAGTTCTCGTCAAGCCTAATAATATATTTTCTTTAACTGATATTTGCAATTACAGAAAGAGTTCGTGCCGAAACCTGACACTTAGTGTCTGGTTTGGTACATAAGAACGGTTTGAAACTCTCTTCCCTCGAATTTGTAAATAAATAAATATTCATTCTCTTTCTTTTCCTTCATTGTTTAATAATCATATGCAAGTTTTCTTTGATACTCTGAATACATAGTAATCCTCTAGATTCTTGGAACCTTGAATAATTTAAACCTATTTTCAATCCAAGCCTTTCATCCTTCAACACTATAGAGAGGAACTTGATGAGAAACCGATGCAAAGAGGAGGAGGAGGGGGGGAAGTAAATAGGGGATAAGGGAACTTTATGTTTATGGAGTCTACAATATGGCTGAAAATGGTGTCTGCGTGGCGCAAATAAATCCTTTTCTAATACATTCTTTTTCGCATTTACACTGCAACTGCATCTGGAAGTTTTAAACACGACTTGAATTTTTATAAAACTTTTAATCATGTTCCGTTTTAACATTTTTCAACATGCTGTGTTTAGGTTTATTTGAAGTTAAAATGCAGCAAAAAAAAGAAAAATCAATCTTGTGAATTTTGTTTTGAAGAGACTGCTCTGAAATTTGTGAACCTCAGCTCGTTTTTGTAATTTCTGAACAATCCCTTTTGTGGTTGGTCTGAAGGTTTACCTGTAGCAGTGTGTGCTCTACAACTCCAATCCTGACATCCATCAAAACTATTTCAGATCTTACACGGGACAAGGATTTTCTAGAAAAACTTGAAATTAAAGGGACTGTCAGCGTAAATTAAAGGGACTGTCAGCGTAAATTAAAGGGACTATCAGCGTAATTTCAAGTGACTGGACAACGGTACCTTTTAAACCTTTAGCTGATCATCGAGGACAGAGATCGTAGTGTAAATATCTCTTAAATGTCCTGTAAAAAGCCGTAAAATTGGAGTGTACGCTAGCGTACTGTGTGAACTCCGCACGGATGACGTCACATTGTTTCCTGGAAAATCTAGAATATTCAATATCCAACGAGGTTTTGAAAAAGTATGCCACTTTTAGAAAGTATATATCAATATCCCTTAAATATAAAACAGCTTTAAACAAAGTTTTGAACAATTAAAAGCATTTCTTTAGATTTCTTTAGACAAATCAGAAAAAGTTTGCCATCCTTGATCAGTCAAAAGTTTAAAGAGTATTGTTGTGAATCGGGGATGCCCTTTTTTTAATGGAAGGTCACTTGAAATTACACTTACAGTCCCTTTAAAAATTCTATATATATATATATATATAATTCTGCTTGTCTGTCTTCTTGGTTTTTGTCTGTTTCTGTCCAATAAACGTCAAAACGGCTGAACTGATCGGACCCAATTTTTTTTTAGCACCTCACGTGACCCCAGGAAAGATTTATAGATGATCAAATTTTCAAAAATTTGCTTCTAACAAAATTCGATTNGCAGCCACGCAGTGGTAGAACTTGGTGGTGCTGCTGCTGATCCCTTTGATATTGAACTGGGCCTCGGCCTGGGCGAACCAAACTTCCGCAGATTCAGGCCAAAAGGGGGGAAGCTTGAGGGCAACAGCTCCGACACTGGGCAGCGCTTCACCAGATTGGGTAGCCATAACACTTGGCAATCACACCAAAAAAAATAATATTTCACCGTTTCTAATCCTACTTAAGGAGTGGACTGTGGAAAAAACAGGGAGTCCGGCTCACTTCAGAAAAGAGTGCGGCGAAAAAAATCTATTTATAACGAGAGAAATAACGTACGGAGTTAAATCACGTCGGGGTCACCAGATTTAGCGACGGCTAAATAAAAAGACGAAAGTCAAAAAACAACTAATATATTTTACATGAAAAATAGAACAAAGTAAAAGTGAATCTAAAAAATGGCGACTTTTTATATATCACATGAGTTTAGATCAGGTAGATGCTTGCAGACATTATGGCGGAGAGTACGACGACTTGTCCGCCACAGAACTGAATACTTGGTTCATTCTTTACATTTCTAATTCTATACATCCTTGCATGCAACCTGATGTCGCAGACGCTTGATATTTCAAACTTGATCAAATGGTCAAAGTTTGAAACATCAAAGGTTTGCTTGCACCTTCAGGTTGCAAAAGCTGCGGTTAATGACATGTTAAAAATAAATTTATAAAATTTAAAAAAGCGAAAAATCATAAAATCTCGCCTCTAAATTTATATCGAGAGAAATTGACATTTTTTCACGAATTCATTTTGTTAAATCGGTTTACAGAGATGCATATTGAACCAATAAACTAGGTTCGCAAACACTAAATTCATCGTTTATTGAGAAAACTTCAAGGAGAGAAAATTCAAAGAAGGGAATTAAAACAAATGTTTCCAAAAGTGTTAAACTGATGGAGTTTAAGGGTGAAAAAAGGATTCACAGTATATCCTATCATTTTTAGCGTCATGCCTGTCAAGTTATAGTGTTTCAGAACCACTAACGTTTATAACCATTAGAGATGCAATAATTTAATTTCAGAATTTGCTTCTTACCAAATAAAGTATCAAGTACAATAGATGGCAATGTAGAATTTGTACATTCTCAGCATTGCTGCATTCTAACGTCACAAGTGTCAATAGTTTTATGTGTCCGACAAAATTATTTATTATAGTGGTAATAAAGAGCTTGTCACACAGTCAAATAAGTGCAATTTTGTTTTTTTTTTTATTTTCTGCTTTTACACTTTTTTATTTAATCTTAGAAAACATGTCAACTAATGAGAGAGTATGTTGTCTTCCTTGTTATATTTGACACTTGTGACGTCATGTATAATTGGTCCATTTCTCTGTTGCCACCTATTGTACTTGATAATCATATTTGCTTTTTACTATTTGTGATAAAAATGACTATGGCACCAAATAATTTGAAATTGATTTTGTTTTGAATCTTATCCTTAAAATCTAATTTGGACTGTTTTCACATTTTCACAAGAATATGAAGATCAATAAAGAAAAGGTAAAAAACCTGAAGCTGGACAATGGTAATTTTATAATACTGCTATATTGAAACTATGGGAGTATGTATAGTTGCACAAAACTTATCTTTTCCCTGTATCCAATTTCCCCGAACTATTTGTCGAAAAATTAGATTTTACTCAAAATCAGCTAATTTTTGTTAAAGTTCATTTTGTTTTGTTAGAACACTGTTAAATGTTTATTCCCGGAAATTGATTTTAAATTAAAACATATAATATACATTAAACCAATTAGATTTCTTCCCACCAGACTCAGACCACAATCAGTGTAATCTTTCTTTTCAATACATTTGTATCTTTCATATATTTGTCATGAATAATGTTCCTCAAAATAAAAAAGCTTGTTAACTTTCCTTCTTTTTAAAAACCATTAAGAAACTAGCTCGAGAACCCAGCGTTGCCCAGGTTACTCATAGTTACTCCTGCCGTTTACCCGCACTTGGTCTTAAATTACGATTTTAGCTATTTTTCCTTTTACAAGTCGACCCATTCAACAGAGAATCTTAAAACCAAGGTTCTCCCAAATTCCCCAATCAAAATTTGATGCAAATTATACATGGGCTTCCTGAGTTATGATCGGAAATACAAACAAACAAACAAACAAACAGAGATTACTAGATACTACTAGATATGAAACATTGACGATGCCATAATCTTAATTTAAGTTTGTTGGTTTAAAATTAACATTTTTAATTTAACCTCTATTTAAAATTTTGCAAATTAGCAATTTTTTTTGCCCAAAGGCTTTCCTAAAATTGTATCAAATATTATAGATTTGTATTACGATAAGGAAAAAGAGAGGGGGGAGGGGGTTCCAGACTATTTTGGGTAAACCATGGACGTCAGTCTGAATAGGGTTTAGTATAATATAATTGTCTCTTACGCTGTTTTGGACGGACTTTTAATGAGAGATAAAAATATGATTAAGAACATGCCGATATAGACCAAGGAGTATGAAATAAAAGGGTGATACAACGGACGCGGCCCGCCCTACCATATGATACATGCTTTGAAGACGGGAACTCCATTTGTATAAGAAATATTCAGAATAGGTTATTGTATTGGTAATTCATCAAACAAATATTTCTTATACAAATGGAGTACCGTCTGCAAAGCATGTATAATCATATGGTAGGGCGGGCCGCGTCCGTTATATCTCCCTTCTATTTCATACTCCTTGGATAGGAACCAGAATGCACTTCGTTTTAGTTAGTTTTACGTGTTCAGTTCCTCTCATTAAAGGGACTGTAAGCCTAATTTCAAATGAACTTTAATTTATAAGGGCATGTCCTTTTCACAACGTTACTCTGTAAACCTTTGTCCGGACAACGATGAGGTAGAATTCCTGATTTGTATAGCTGAAGAACAAGTGCAGCGTTTTCTTGGAACTTAATTTCCTGCTATATTAATAATAATATATCTACCAAATCCTTGATAAAGCAAAGGTTTAAAGGGTATCGTGGTAAATAGGACATGCAACTTGAGATTAGGCTCAAAGTCCCTTTAAACCTTTTACCTAATATTGACTAGAGGAGATCCGTCCGTCATAGATGATCCTCTCTCCTCCATCTCAGATTTAACCGCGTCCAGGTCATCTGTCAGCTGGGAGAGAAGGCGGGATCTTTCGGTCACACCCCCACTCACCTGCTTATACTGCTCCCTGAACAACTTTATACATCTTGACTTAGTTTAACGCGAAGAGCTGTACGTTATACATTTAGACCTAGTTTAGCTTTAAAAGAGCTGTACGTTATACATTTAGACTTAGTTTAGCGTTAAGAGCTGTACTTTTTACATCTAGACTTAGCTTTGCGTGAAGAGCTTTACTTTATACGTCTAGACTTAGTTCAACGTGAAAAGCTGTATTTTATATATCTTAACTTAGTTTAACGTGAAGAGCTTACTTTATACATCTAGACTAAGCTTAGTCTGAAGAGCTGTACTTTTTATATCTAGAATTAGTTTAACGTGAAGAGCTGTACTTTATACGTCTAGACTTAGTTTAACTTGAAAAGCTGTACTTTATATATCTTGACTTAGTTTAACGTGAAGAGCTTTACTTTATACGTCTAGACTTAGTTTAACTTGAAAAGCTGTACTTTATATATCTTGACTTAGTTTAACGTAAAGAGCTGTACTTTATACATCTAGACTTAGTTTAACGTAAAGAGCTGTACTTTATACATCTAGACTTAGTTCAACATGAAGAGCTGTACTTTATACATCTAGACTTAGTTTAACGTAAAGAGCTGTACTTTATACATCTAGAATTAGTTTAACGTTAAGAGCTGTACTTTATACATCTAGACTTAGTTTAAAGTTAAAAGAGCTGTACTTTATACCAGGGGTCAATATAATTCCCAAAAAAGCTGATTTTCTCGATCCCAAAATTATTTTTTGCCCCCAATTTTGAAAAAAAATGCCCCTAATTTTCAAAAAAATGCCCCCAGTTAAAATTTTTTTTTCAAATTCCACTAACAAATTTGCCCCCATTGCCCCCAATTTGAAAAAAATGCCCCCAATTTTTAAAAAAAATGCCCCCAATTTTATTTTTAATTATCATATAAAAAAAATTTGCCCCCAATAAAAGACTTTGCCCCCATTTCTTTCAAATTTGTCAATCCCAAATGGGATTGAAAAAGGAATTATATTGACCCCTGCTTTATACATCTAGACTTAGCTTAGCGTGAAGAGCTATACTTTATACATCGAGACTTAGTTTACCGTGAAGAGCTGTACTTTTTACATCTCGACTTAGTTTAACGTGAAGAGCTGTACTTTTTACATCTTGATCTAGTTTAACGTGAAGAGCAGTACTTTATACATATAGACTTAGTTTAGCGTGAAGAGCTGTATTCTACAGTACTCTGTAAGAATATAATTCCTCAACTCCCTAGCTGTGAAATGGATTGTATAGAGAAACTGATGCAAGTTAAAGATCCTGTTCATTTCTAGTTTACGACTCATAACACTTTAGGGTAGGATATTTTAGCTTAACTATACAAGTTTATACCCCAAACATACTAGGGGGTTATTCAGTTTATACCCCAAACATAGTAGGGGATTATTTAGTTTATACCGCAAACATACTAGGGGATTATTCAGTTTATACTCCAAACATACTAGGGGATTATTCAGTTTATACCCCAAACATAGTAGGGGATTATTTAGTTTATACCCCAAACATACTAGGGGATTATTCAGTTTATACCCCAAACATACTAGGGGATTATTCAGTTTATACCCCAAACATACTAGGGGATTATTCAGTTTATACTCCAAACATAGTAGGGGATTATTCAGTTTATACCCCAACATACTAGGGGATTATTCAGTTTAGATAAAAATTACAACTTTATAGTTTCAAAATGAAAAAAATATGTAAAAAGGCCCTTTTCTAATTTTACTAATTAGTATAATAAGCGTACAGACCTAAATTAAGATTGTAATATTAAAATATCAGATGTTTGATGTAAAACAAAGTGTGTTGCAATTTAAAATTGCATATGTCGAGGGCTACAAAAATTATAATGGAGTTGATGAGGTAAAACCAAAGGCCAAGACTAGCTATTATAGAATTGTCTAGATCTCTGTGAACAGTCACGGGCAGCCGTGAATTGAATTTCCGAGCCGGGTCAACCTTTCCGGTCCCAGTTTGTACTGTACCTAGCTCTATGGACAGGACTAGCCGGTGCAACAAGGTTGACTCGGTCAGACTTTATGCTTCATATAGGTTAAAATTACTTTTACTAATCTTCAATAATTTTTGTTAAATTTCTGATCTGATACGTACTTTAAAATTAAACTTTTTTAAAACAGAAAATGTTGTGAATTAAATTCGTTTGATTTAAAACTAAATATTTTCATAAAAGTTTTAAAAAGAAATTATATATTCCATGCCTCGGACTTTTATGTTCATAAATCACTAACAGCTGGAAATTAGAAAGCACATTTCAAAAACTCTAATAGAACTTTTAAAAAAAAATTTCATTTTTAAGATTCTTGATTTTCACCTTGTTTGCGCTAACATCTGAGAGAGTTGTTTATATTCCCCTAAAGGACCCTCCAGTTGAGAATTCAAATATTTTTCTCTGAAAAATAATAATTTCAGGGGTCATTCATTAGTTTGTATCATGGGTCCGCAAATTCAGCAGTTTGTATCAGGGGTCCGCAAATTCATTAGTTTGTATCAGGGGTCCGTAAGTTTAGCAGTTTGTATCAGAGGTCCGCAAATTCATTAGTTTGTATCAAAGGTCCGCTAATTCACCAGTTTGTATCAGGGGTCCGCAAATTCTGCAGTTTGTATCAAGGGTCCGCAAATTCAGCAGTTTGTATCAGAGGTCCGCTAATTCACCAGTTTGTATTAAGGGTCCGCAAATTCTGCAGTTTGTATCAAGGGTCCGCAAATTCAGCAGTTTGTATCAGGGGTCCGCAAATTTAGCAGTTTGTATCAAGGGTCCGCAAATTCAGCAGTTTGTATCAAGGATCCGCAAATTCACCAGTTTGTATCAGGGGTCCGCAAATTCATTAGTTTGTATCAGAGGTCCGCAAATTCATTAGTTTGTATCAGGGGCCCGCAAAGTAATTGAGTCTTTGGAACAAAATCAAATATTTAAACCACAATATCTTTAGAACTCGATGTTGTAAACCTTTGATATTTCAAACTCAGAATTCATAGTTTGAAATATCAAGGTATGCAACATTTGGTTCCAAAGATATAGTGATTAGAAAATCAGAGTTTGTGGCAAAGACTCAATTCCTTTAGCAGGGTGGGGTTTATGCACTGGTCGCAGCGCTAAGGGCCTAAAACATGCCTGAGCCGCGGTGCTAGACCAAAGATTGTCTAAACCCGATCAACCTAACCTAATTTATGTCATCTCGCCCGCTTGTTGTTTGCCTCTCCCCCCGTTTTCCCCCGTATATGTTTATGTTATATCAAAAGGTAAAAATTCGAAACTAAATGTTCGCTGTAGAATTTGAGTTTCATGAATGTTCCCCGTTCACCCCCTTCACCCCCTCCCTTCCGTAAACACTCAACACATTTATAATCTGGTTGTAAAAAGGGTTTATTAGGTAACTCTCTGACAGATATTATATTTACAAACATATTAAAACAAGACTAACATGACTTTATGAATAAGGGGTTGGGGGGTTGGGGTGTCTGGGGGGGATGAGGGGAAGGGGGGTCGCTAGATGGGAAGTAAAAGTGCTGATTTTTTATTTCAGAGTTTCTTTCTTATTACTTAATTTCTAACTTTAAAAAAAGTAAATGCTTTAAAGATAAATTTAAAGATATTTTTGGTTAAAAAGTTTAAGTTTTTTTTCATATCCGACTCCCCCCCCCCTCCCCCAACAATTCACGCTTCAAAATCACTTTTCTGATGTATATGGAAGTCATATATCAATTAAAACTTTGTCCAATATAGGAGGCGGAGAATGAGAAAAAGAAAATTATTTAAAGGGACTGTAAGTGTAATTTTAGGTGACCATCTACGCAAACAGGAGAATGTCCGATTTACAATGGTACCATTTAAACCATTGGCCAATCATCAATATCAGAGAACTCCGTATGTTTCTCCCTAAAATAGTGCTTTATCTGCCAAGAAACTGGAGTGTACACTAGCGTACAGTGTGAACTGACTTTACAGATAATAAAACTATAAACAATTACAAGCTTTTCTAGAGAAAAAATAATAAGGTATAAAGGGTACTGTTGTAAATCGAACACACAAACCTAAAAACCCTTTCAAGTTTGTGTGTCTATTTTTCTGAAATAATGTTTACCTGCTGCTTATTTTCTCTAAAGTTTTAGATATATCTGATTGAAGACGATCTAAGTGGGTTCTAGTTGTAACCAGGGAGTCCTGTATTCCTTGCCTATACAGATATATGTACATTAATCTTGTACAACCTTTTTGTACAGCACTTTGTACAATGCATGCCAAATTATTCACATTTTGGCGCCAAAAAGGTATAAATTTTCCCAATTACTAATCCACGACTGAGAATAGATTTCAGCTTTAACATTTGTAAATCCAGGGCTACAAAAAAAGTATGAGTAACTTATAAGATCGAAATCGGCTTGGTCGTACGTTAGCCATTTTCCGTGGCTCGTTTTTCTGAAGTATAGTATTGTTTGTGGATATCCTGCTTAATTCTAAATATACGTATGAAGTTAACTTTACATTTAGATTGCTTTCCTACATACAGATAAGATATTTAAATTGTATGCTTTTCATAAATTCAGAATACTGTCATAGTTTAACCCTATCTCCGCTGGGTACTTGAAAACCAGGATACGCTGGGGGGGGGTCAATTTGACCCCCCCCCCTCTAAATCCCATGTTTTATGTCCAAATATGACAAATGATACATCATTAGAAAGCTCTTGTGCTCTACTTTTAGAATCTGCAAAAAAATTTGCAAATTTGCGAAAATTGAATTTTTTATCGCAAAATCCAGTTTTATAGTAAAAATGTTTGCAAAAAAAAATGTGTCCAAAAAATGACAAATTATACATTTTTGAAAAGCCCTTGACCATGCCATTTTAAATATGCAAAAATTTTTGCAAAATTTTAAATAACCTGATTTTTAATCAAGAAAAACTAAAAATGTGCAAATTTCCTTTGACAGGTTGTTTGCAAAAAATTTGCAATTTTTTTTTTCGCAAAACTTGTGCAATCCGTTTCCTTATGTCATAGGCTTTCCAAAAATCTAAATTTTATCAAAATCTGACAAGTGAAAGTGGGTCAAAACAAAGATTTAGTTTGCTACAGGCAAAAGCAGTCATTCAGGCAGTGTGCCTGAGGACTCAGGCAGTTAGTATTAAAGCCCGGTTTTAGGCCTAAAGGGAGGGCTTTGGGTATGTAAGAAAAGTCAGAAAATTTCAACAGCCTCAGACCAATACTTTTTGAGTTATGTAAAAAAAACTACAGGGGGGGGTCAAATTGACCCCCCCCCCAGCAGGAATAGGGTTAAACATATATACGTATGTGCATATGCACTTTCGGATTCATTTTACATTCTAGGTATTTTTATTTTTATTTTAAACGGGCTTCATGAGAATAAGTTTATTATTTATTTTATCTTATATAATTGTGGAATTTGAATTGTCTAGAAAAAAAACTTAAATGTTTAGAACCAAACCAGAAAATTCCGACCGTCCCTCTCTAAATATGATCATTTTTGTCTAAAATATTTTAATGTAAAGAAATGTGTAGAAAGACTAAAATAAATGCTCAAAATTGGTAAATTTACCCCCTACGCCCTTTTCTGGTGCAATTATACATTTGTTCCATGCTGTATATTTAGTTTATATTATCAAATTCAACATGGTATTAACATTTAGAATAATTTGATGAATTCTAAACTAAAGTATGTTTGAAAATCTGAAGTTTGTTTTCATTTTGTTGTTGTTGTTGTTGTGAGATCAGAGCACTTAGATAAATTAAAGTTAGGGAGGAAAATAAAATATAAAAGAAAATTAATATCAGAATAGTAAGATTACATGAATAATATCAGAATAGTAAGATTATATGAATAATATCAGAATAGTAAGATTATATGAATATTATCAGAATAGTAAGATTACATGAATAATATCAGAATAGTAAGATTACATGAATAATATCAGAATAGTAAGATTACATGAATAATATCAGAATATTAAGATTACATGAATAATATCAGAACAGTAAGATTACATGACTAATATCAGAATAGTAAGATTACATGAATAATATCAGAATAGTAAGATTATATGAATATTATCAGAATAGTAAGATTACATGAATAATATCAGAACAGTAAGATTACATGACTAATATCAGAATGATTACATGAATAATATCAGAATAGTAAGATTACATGAATAATTTCAGAATAGTAAGATTACATGAATAATATCAGAATAGTAAGGTAACATGAATAATATCAGAATAGTAAGATTACATGAATAATATCAGAAAAGTAAGATTACATGAATAATATCAGAATAGTAAGATTACATGAATAATATCAGAATATTAAGATTATATGAATATTATCAGAATAGTAAGATTACATGAATAATATCAGAATATTAAGATTACATGAATTATAAAAATATATGTATTCTTTTCACCACACTGTGAATTAGAAAGAAGAAAATGGTACCATATTTGTGCGACTTTACAGTTTTGTGACCTTTTAGCTCTTCTAGTTTGGATTTTACACAAAACTATGAGAAAGCATACATATCAGGTTATATGGAAGAAATTCCAAACATATTTGTTCTTCTCAATAGCTCTTCAATAAGATGAGTTATGATTGAATAAGATTTCAATGTTACGTATCCCTTCCCCTCCTCCTTCCCATTTACTCCTCTTCATTACATGCCAACCCCCAACCTCCCCTTATATCATCCATATTAAAATCTTTATTCCCATATCCCCCCCCTCCCTAATAAATTCTCCTACACCCCCCCTCATCATATAAAATCCCTAAATGCTAAATGAGATCAATAATGAGAAGTGACCTATATATGGCAGAGCTAATAAAATATTATAAAAGGCTGGAGTGTTTGAGCCAATATTGTAATCACATATTTTCTATATATTAATGGTTTTGTCTAATATTTCAGGCTTTTGTTGTAATAAAACAAAACGAATTAAAATCCATTCTTTATGCTTTAAAAGCAAATCCCAATATTGTGCATTTTTATGTTTTAAACATTACATAATGCACTTCGCACTGCAGAAGAAAAATTTAGAAAATAGAAAAATATTGTAAAATACTTTAAAATGTTGAAAGAATATAAAATATTAGAAATTTTTGAAAGCTAGGAAAATTTAAACAAACATTAGAATTGACACTTTCCAGAGGGAACAGCAAAATAAAATTTGAAGAATAAACAGAAATATATGAACAAATATTCTAAAGGAATTGAGTCTTTGGAACAAAATCAAATATTTAAACCTCAATATCTTTAGAACATGATGTTGTAAACCTTTGATATTTCAAACTCAGATTATTTGATCAATCAGAATTCATAGTTTGAAATATCTAAGGTATGCAACATTTGGTTCCAAAGATATAGTGATTAGTAAATCGGAGTTTGTGGCAAAGACTCAATTCCTTTAATTCAACTTTAGCAGAAGTTAAGAAAAGTTTGGCGTTAGACTTAAAGTATTACACAGGATTAACCATAGTAAACCACAAAGGATGAGACTTCAAGACGACTGTAAGGAACCTAATCAGTCTTTTTCCTTACATTCGAGTTCCCTGCATTCGTCAACATTGTTTCTTTATTTGTCAAAATCAAAAATCGACCAAATTTAACCCTCTCCTTATTTCATTTAAAGATTATTTAAAGTCTAATATTTTGTAGGTAACCCTGTATGTCACAACGATGATCACGCGACTCGTCAATCGAATTTTGAAAAGTCTTTGCAACAAACTCAAATTTTCTAATTTTTGTATCTTTACAACTTGCCAGTGTAAACCTGTGATATTTCAAACTTAGATTGTTTGATCCAACAAATATCTTTTCAAAAACACAACAAAAAAGTATTTTTTCGTATAGTGATATTTTTAGATTGTTAAAATTGGTATAAGTCCAATTATCAAAAAAAAATCGAAGGAAATGAGTCTTTGCCACAAACTCGGATTTTCTAATCCCTATATTTTCGTGGCCGAATGTCGGAGACCTTAGATATTCTAAACTATGAATACTCAAATCAAATCAAAGCTTTTATTAGGCCACAAATTATACAATGTACATACATATAAATGCTAATTGAAAATAACAGACAATTAAGAGTATATTGTGGCCGGGGAGCTACAAGATAGCTCAGGCTGTTTACACATGAGCTCCCCTGGTTCAGCATAATATAGATAAGAATACTGTTAGTTTAAATAATCTAAGTATGAAATATCAAAGGTTTCCACCGCCATTAGGTTACAAAGATATAAGAATTAGGAAATTTGAGGTTGTGGCAAAAACCCAATTCCTTTAACTTAAAATCTATAAAATTACTTAAAAGGTTCGATTTTCCTTACTTTTAACTTTATACAAGAGAATGTCCACCTCGAAGGATGAGTGTAAAGATCAATTTGTTCCAAGTTTGAACCCAAACTTCTATTCTAAACTTTACTGATTCCTACACAAACTTGGTTTAGCTTACACTCATCTCTATCTTCTTCATCCACTTAACTGATGTATTTAAGAACTTTTCCAACATTTATATCAAACGGGCTGTTCATAAATTTTGAACGGGTCACATCTTTCCAATGTATGATTCCCATTTTGTACGTGACAAACGTAAAAAGTTTCAAACTTATATTTTGTATACCATTAGAAGACAGTATTAAAGCCATAAATCGAAATTAAACAGATAATTATGTTTACAGAGTTTCAGAACGTAATAAAAGTGTATTTTTTTTTAATTTAACCCTTTACATATTATTGTATGTAAGAAAGCAAAAAAGATTATTTTTACGGGAAAAGAATAAAAGTAAAAAAAATTGTCAGGATGATAGACATTCTTCAAATAAGATTCGTCAAAATGTCTAAGAAAAAAAATTCAAAAATTTAAAAATAAAGTATTGAGTAATTTGTATCTAGCTATTGCAATTCCATTCTGGTGGCGGGGAGTGGGGGGGGGAACTCAAATAATAATGCAATTCCATTCTGGTGGCGGGGAGAGGGGGGAACTCAAATAATAATGCAATTCCATTCTGGTGGCGGGGAGGGGGGGGACTCAAATAATAATGCAATTCCATTCTGGTGGCGGGGAGGGGGGGGACTCAAATAATAATGCAATTCCATTCTATTGCAAATAGCTTGCAATAAAACGAAGGAAATTTTGTCATTACCCACCTCCTGGGGCGTATGCAGGAATTTTTAACCTGTCTTTACTTTTCAGGAGGGGGAAAGGGGGCTCAGTTTCCGAAGGGGGTTGAATAAATATCCTACATAGCCCCCCCTCCCGATATGCACCAATAAATTTGGATTAAATGAAATATAATGAAAAGTATTTATTGATGTAACAGCATCTTCACATTTTTTTACTTTTAATTGCTTCATAATGTTTCTTGTTTTTTAATTTGTTTTATATTTAAACAAATATATGCACAAATATATATGTCAAAATGTATATATAAATATATATACAAATATATGTAAAAATGTATATACAAATCTATGTGCAAATGTATGTATATATATATATATGCTGCTGAAGAATGTCCAACATGAAACACGGTGTCCAGAAAGAAACTATATTAAATAAACAATAGAAAATGTTCTAAACTTATTTTAAGAAGATACATATATACATATATATATAGTATTTTCAACTTTTTTCAGTTTAAATTTATATTTTGGATGTTTAAATAAGAGAAAAAGAGAGAGAGGGGGGAATGAGAAAATAAATTCAAGAATGCGAAAAGTATTAAAACTAACCATGGTCATAAAAACCATAGACAGTGTAATTTGGCTAAAATTACGAAATTTAGTAGATAAAACGTTCTTCATATATCTGTACCGTATAAGGCTGTGCAGCTGTACAGCTGTATAGTATATATTTCGACAGTTTATCATTAAGCTAGGGTAGGTTATTCATAATCCTAGCGGGTATGAATGCCATATCTAAACTTTAAGTGGATAATGAAAAACTTTTGAAATATTAAATTTTGTAATGTAAATAAATAAAATTACAAAAAGGGTCAAAAGCTTTCTTTATAATGAAAATGAATATAGATATTAAAAAAAGATAAAATTCTAGTCCAAATTATTTTATTAAAATGTTGATTTTTAAGCCGCTATTTTTCCTGTGTATTTCAATAAACAACACTTTTGGGGATAAATCTATTAACTTTAAATTAGTTCTTTTCAAAGATCATAAATTTCGTGTTTTTTTCAGGCAATATTTTTAAATATTGGGGTTATGTGAGTTGCCACAAAAAATCAGTTCAGTCTTTTTGACGTTTATCGGATCCATACATAAAAACAGAAAGAATAGTTGAATATCTTTACCTGTATTCATGCATCTGCTCTAGGTGAGATCTCCAATCCCTGGCGTCTACTCTAACAGTTACCTGATAATTCAAACTAATTATTCAGAAAGGAATTGAGTCTTCGGAACAAAATCAAACATTTAAACCTCAATATCTTTAGAATTCGATGTTGTAAACCTTTGATATTTCAAACTCAGATTATTAAATCTAATAGAATTCATAGTTTGAAATATCTAAGGTCTGTAACATTTGAATTCAAAGATATAGTGATTAGAAAATCAGAGTTCGTGGCAAAGACTCAATTTCTTTTCAGATTGGAACTTTTGAACTAATGAATCCCTTCAAAAAATACTAATTATTATACTTCAGAGAACATTGATTTCTTTTGCACATAGATTTAAAAATGCTGAAATCGTCATTTAATGGTTCACACAAAATCTGCTTTCCACCATGCAATGGGAGATTAAAAACAAGTCAACTGTTTTTCACAGTTTTCGCAGTTATAAGAAGCTTACGTCTCAGATGTTAGATGTCGCTTCGTAGTTTAGACTAAAATGTAATGAAACTACACAAATTGTATCAAATAATTCTAGAACAAATTTATCTTTAGAACAACAATGTAATATGACATTTTGGCATTTTGTGCTTTGTCTGTTACTGAGTATGTTTTGAGTTTATGAAATCAGTGATCTTTTTATTAACTTCTTGAATGTTTGGAATCACAATCAAAAAAGTTTCTGGCATCAAAAAAATCCGGCTGAAAAAAGTTAGAGTTGTGTACTGCAAATTATTCCAAAGAAAATTATAAGACATGACGCTTTTCCTCAAGATTTTATATCTTTTTAGATTGGTTTGTTCTTATCTTTAATAGATTGATACAGATGGTGTACCATTAAACAATTAGAATTAAGGGACTGTGCGCATAATTTCATTTAAAGAGGGTCTTCCTCGTACTTTCTAGAAGTGAAAGAAAATAAATAAAACCGTTTTTAACTTTAACTTTACGCTAGCAAAATATCATCTGTTTCGAGTTAACGCTGTACACAGCGCACACATGAATTTTTAAGAATACAAGCAGTTTTTGTTAAGTTTACACACACAGATCTCTGTACTCGATTAACACAAAAATGTTTATAGTATAACATTGTATAATTGGACATTGTCCTCTTTGCGTGGATTTTTACTAGAATTCACGCTTAAAGTCCCTTTAAATTTGTAAAGTAGAATTTAAAATTATACCTTGAGTTGTGGTGCTACTCTCTCTACCTCTAGTTTCCACTGCTCGGCATCAGTACTACTTTCCATTATTTGTTCCGGGCGTTCATGTCCCTGCTCTCCAACTAGTTTATCCAGGGGATACGCAGACAGGTCGTCTTAATAATATATCAATTTAATATCAATATATAAATATATATAAACAGAGTGTCCCATATCATATTAGATTGACTCCAAGCTTTAACACTGAAATACCAAAATATTAGTTATTGTTAGCCTTTTACAAGTTTTTAAAATGTTTCATTATTTTTTAATTTTCTCTAACACCCTGTATATAAGTAGTAATCCAGGTCAACAACTAGTTTATCGAGGGGATACGCAGACAAGTCGTCTTCATAAGCCGGATTTTTTAAGCCTAATTTTGGAAACCTTTGAAATTTCAAATTTTGATTATTTAATTTAACAGAATTCATAGTTTGAAATTTCTATGATCTTTGTCGTTAAGTTGCAAAGATATGATATTACAAAAATAGAATTTGTGGCAAGGACTTATTTCCATTTAGTAGATATTTTTAAAATTTGGTTTCAAGTTGAGACCCGGGAATTAAGAACTGACTCATTAGAAGTAATCTCTGTTTAGGTGTCTTTTTTTATGTTCAATCATATCTTAAACGAACACCTGGACCGATTTGCCTTAAATTTTGATTGGGGAACTCTAAGATTGAACCGTTTGACCTTAACAGTGAAAACTCCAGGCAAACCTGGTTTCCCAAGCTGCCTTAAGAAATTACCACAAATAAGTAAAGATTTATGGATCTAACCTATATGGAGAATATCTCCTTCTTCTTCCTCAGAGTAGTCCCCCGCCATATCCTCTTCTACACGGTCTAGATTCACCTAATATATTAAACATTAATCCCCCGCCATATCCTCTTCTACACAGTCTAGATTCACCTAATATATTAAACATTAATCCCCCGCTATATCCTCTTCTACACGGTCTAGATTCACCTAATATATAAAACATTAATCCCCCGCCATATATATGTGTCAGTGTCCCCCTGTATGATGAAGATAAATGCGTTTATGATGATGATGATGATGATGATGATGATGATGATGATGATGATGATGATGATGATGATGATTAGTTCTCACCTCCATATCATCATCTATCTCCTCCTCTTCTTGTCCCTCTTCAACTGGTGGGATCGGGGTGTTCCAACTAAATCCGACAAATCTAGAAAAACAAAAAAAATTTCAGCAATTTGATTTGTTCTTCAGTTTTTTGCCCATTTTTAATTTGATCCTTAAAGAATGCACGTTTTTTGCGGTTTCTTTTAAAACGTGCATAAAATATATTAAAACTATCCTTTTGGACATGCATGGTTCATCGAAATATAAAACCTTTTTAAACTAACAAACTCTATTATTTTCATTAAAGTAATGTTTTTCAATTTGCCATGATTTGCTGTCCTTACAATTAAGTTACACTTAATAGGTTGAAAAGATATATAGGGATTATAAAATTATAGTTTGTTCACAGTTTTCCTTTCTGCATTTCCTAAAATATCAATGATGAATCTTTACAACAGGAACACAATAAAGTAATAGAGTCTTTGCCACAAACTCGGATTTTCTAATCCCTGTAACTCTTCAACCTCCAATGTTGTAGACCTTGAGATATTTCAAACTTTGAATTCTGTTAGATAAAAGATTATAGATAAAAAATATAAAAGATTTACACTGTCAGGTTGAAAAGACTCAATTCTTTTGGCCCTTATCAAACAACTGAGTAAAAAATGTTTTGAAGCTATATAAAGGAATTGAGTCTTTGCCACAAACTCTGATTTTCCAATCCTTATATCTTTACAACCCAATGTCGTATGACCTGAGATATTTCAAACTGTAAATTATGCTAGACCAAATAATGAAAGTTTGAAATTCAAAAAGTTTGCACCAACAGGTTGCAAAGATTTAAGAATTAGAACATTTGAGTCAGTGGCAAAGACTCAATTCTATTTCTTCTGTGTACTTTAAAGGGTTTCTCTTTTTAGACAAGGTTTGAATTTATTTAATTTATCAGGGCTGTTCATAATTTTATATCAAGTTAGTGCAAAAGGGTCACAAAAATTTCCAAAACGATATTTTGTGTTATGAAGAAAACTAATTTATCTCTTTATCTAAGTGTGTGTTTTGAGGTAAGGTTTGTGTGGCGGGGAATTACTATTGTTTATTCAGCGTGTCAATATGCATTGACAAGAGTTTGCAAACTTTGCTTTTAGCATATTGTGTTGGATGTCAGGAACATTAACAGGAACATTTAATATACAGACTTAAAGGGACTAGTGGCGTAATTTCAAGTGACCCTCCATGCAAAAATACCCGATTTACATGGTATATTTTAACCCTTTCACTGATCGAAAAAAAATGTTCTGTTTTAGTAAAAAAGAAAATAAATTGAAATATATAAATTTGAAAATAAATTAAAAAATAAATTTGAACAAAATAAATTTCCTAAAATGTAATGAAGCCTTTATTAGATTGAGTTTGTAAAAACCAGAAATGAGTGGAAAATGCAAATTAACCCCAATTAAAACCAATAATTTGATATACATCATGATATGTTTCTAGGGGGTTAAAAAAAATACGGCGCGCTTCGCGCGCCAAATTAAAAATATTTACCCCCCCCCCTACAGAATCATTATGTCCGCCCCCGCTATTGAGTGTCTGCTTTATTAACTCAATGTACGGGCGACACAGTACAAACTGGGACCGGAAAGGTTGACCCGGCTCGGATATTCAAATGTACTACCTATAGTCTGTGCTGTAGTAATAAAGTATAAACATATCTCTATAAGTAAACTTCTATAACCCTCTTTACATATTTGCCTCAAATTTTATTGTGGAACTCGGCAGAGCCACGGGAATTTTCTTAGCTTGGTTTAAAAATTGTAAGTTGTGTACAGGCTGAGTTTTATAAAGAAAGTTAAGTTTCCAGCCAGAGCTGGGTTCCCAAGATAGTACACCATGGTCATACATTGTAGCATAGAAACCATACACAATGGACTAAGACAATGGGGTCGGTCAAATAGGCCTAGGATTAGGCCGGGTACTGTAAAAAGTCTGAACGCGCCAAGAGAGTTCTCATAGCCCTCCGATGTGACTATGCCAAGAAAATTGACCCCTGTCGTATGTTAGTCTGGTTAGGACGACGTACTGTACCATAGGATCGGGTCAGTAAACGCTGTTATCTGGCAGGCCGGTACAAACTGGGCAGGTCCTGTTCGAATTCAAATTTACTACGGCCTTAAGTGCATACTGATGTACACAGTGCACATTTGTATAAATAATATTTCAGTCATGCAACCAAACATAAATGGAATATCAAAATATCTTTTATTTTTGAAAAATTTCTTTCGTAAGTTTTTAAATTCTAGACTTTATGACTTACATGCAACCTTTTGAAATTTGATATTTTAATCTATAATTTATGTAAAATAAACTAGTTTTTATTTTGCAAAGATTTACACCTTCAGATATCAAAGATATATGGGATTCGAAATTTCAAGTTTGTTGCGAGAAATCAGTTCCTTTGCTCTCACAATATGTTTTCTTTATTTTTTTTTTAATATTTCAGCCAATAAATATTGAATAAATATACCGTAATATATTCAATATATAAATGATAAAGAAAAAGTAATATCAGATATATCTCTTTCTAAATAACTCAAGGATTAACGTAATAATGAAAAAAAAACACATTTTTGAGAAAAATATCATATTTTTTATTCAATCTGGAGATACGACTTTTTTCAAAAAAAGAAGAAATAATCTACAAATTATTGAAAAACAAAAGAAAGTTATTTTTAGAAATAATCTAAGAAGTAAAGAATTTCTGATAATATCGAGAAAAAAAAATCCATTGAAAGTATAGCTACATACATGAAACATGAAGGAGAATCTAAGGTTTTCACTTTTAAAATTTATATTTAATTAATTTTACCTTAGGGCCTCATCACTGAGACGATCCAACACAAAAATTGCCTAAACACAAAATTTGTACTAGGATGTTTACTTTAAATATATTTTTGAAATGAATTAAATTTAGTTAAATGCATTACGGTAAATTTATGAATTCGTGATTAAGGTTTATATAAAAGGAAAGAGTTTAGAATCAATGTGTATTGTATATACACTACAAGGATAGAGTTCAGGATCAAGGTTTATATACAAGGATAGGGTTCAGGATCAAGGTTTATATACAAGGATAGAGTTCAGGATCAAGGTTTATATTCAAGGATAGGGTTCAGGATCAAGGTTTATATTCAAGGATAGAGTTCAGGATCAAGGTTTATATTCAAGGATAGAGTTCAGGATCAAGGTTTATATACAAGGATAGGGTTCAGGATCAAGGTTTATATTCAAGGATAGGGTTCAGGATCAAGGTTTATATACCAGGATAGAGTTCAGGATCAAGGTTTATATACCAGGATAGAGTTCAGGATCAAGGTTTATATACAAGGATTGGGTTCAGGATCAAGGAAAAATTAAAAAAACAATTTTTTTAATAATTTTTATTGTATTCCACCTGTTCACCGTATCCTTGTTTCAGCTTGCTGGGAGCAAAATCTATTGTTACTCCGATTTTCCTTAACAAATTTACAATGAAAGACGACATATTCTAAATAAAATCAAAAGACGACAATTTTTTAACAAAAATTAACACTTTTAGACCAGTTGTCAAACTATTTATTTTCTAAAAGAGAAGGTTTTGGACTATACATTTTCTTAATTGTATTTTCTTTTTAATTCTTTTTAAACGAAAATTGAGTTTTTTGAGAGTTGAGAGTTCTTTGAAACAGAAGCAGAAGCTTGGTCTAAATGTCGTCTTCAACTTGACAAAATTTTTACTTTCTTGCTGAAAGGATTTAATTCTTGAGTCTTGACACAAATTATGATAATATAAAATCCCTCACCTCACATTTTCCAAGATCTTAGAAATCGTTGAATTAGGATCATCAAACTCCTGATGAAAAATAGTTATTATAAAAATTGGTTGACAAAAAAAACTGAATATTCATTATATTTCAAGAATTTGTCGCATTTTTATTTCTTATTTACAAAGAGATAAATGCTTTAAATAAATAATATTTTGAAAAGTTTCAAAAATTTAATTAAAGAAAAACTTGAAATTATAGAAAGGGGATAATTGGGGGTTTTGGTTTTTCTAATTAATTAGGATTTAGTTATTCGTGCCATCGATAAAGTTTTGAAAATGTTCCCTAGATATTTTTGAAGAAATATGTTGCAAATTATAAGATTTTTAGCGGTATTTTTATTCGAAAGAAAAAAATTCCGCTTCTTGATGTTTATCACTGTATGGTAAAACTTTACCTGTGGAGGATCGAAACTTTTCCCAGCTTTTCTAAATAATTTTCTTATTATTATATAATTTTTATAAATCTTTACAAATTATGAAATAGAATATTTTGAAATAGGAAAGTACATTTATATCGGGATAAAAATTATTTGTAAATTTCTTTTTACTCTAACTAAATCAAAGCAATATGGAAATTCTTAAAGTAAGTGTTGGCTCGTGAAAGAAAGATTATGTAGTAATATTATGTAGCAATTACAAATCCTGATTTTTTTCCTTTGAACTGTAAACAATTTTTATGCTTTTGAATTTTAACTTAAGAATCTTTAAAATCAGGTGTGGTTGGGGGAGGGGAGGGTTGGGGTTGCGACTGAGAGTTGATATAAATCTCTTCTTCCCAACAACGGTAACTAATAAATGTTTAGGTATATATGAAAGAAATTTTCCTAATGAGCCAGGCTGAAAGTGAAGTAAAAAGAAAGAATTGTTCTCCAGGATTAGTCTGCAGGACAAAGTAATGACGGTTCAGAGGTCGCATTCTGAAAATAAAAATTTCATGTGTATAAAGTGGTTATCTCCATTTGTCTCTTTGAATATTCGACCATAACCCCGGGACTGGATTTGCCTCAAATTTTGATTGGGGTACTCGGTACCCTGGGTTAACTTCTACAGGGAAAACTCCAGGGACAGCTGGGTTCCCAAGCTAATTTTCTTATAAAAAAAAACAATATAAATAACTATCAGACTTTTTGGTCTTGAAATCGTTAAGTCAAACACTTTTAATAAGTCAAAATATGTCAATATATTTACAATCTGTCGAAATATGTCAATATATTTACAATCTGTCAAAATATGTCAATATATTTACAATCTGTCAAAATATGTCAATATATTTACAATCTGTCAAAATATGTCAATATATTTACAATCTGTC